AAAGGTGACTTCGATTAAATTGCGACTAACTTAATCAGCTGTTAACTCAATCGGTAGAATCGAGACAAAATCTAATATATAATTCGTTATTCTTAATCTTTTTTACCTTAAATATAATTCTGTTAATTAATTTAATAGTTTTATTCAAATTATAAAGTACTGCTGATTAAGTTAATCAGAGTTTGGTCAAAGTCACCATAAGGACATAAAATATATGTTACCTTCTTCCTATACTTCCTCTTAATTACATTAGATCGCGATACATATCTATCGGCCATAAACTGTACTCTCCTAATGTCGAAGTCTTGATCAATCCTGGTCACCATCTGCGTTCTCTGCTCTTCGGAAGTCACATATAAATCATCCGGGTGATGATAAGTGCTGTGTATGTTGTAGGCTCTCTTGTTGTAAAACAATGCTGCACACACTGTACATTTGATCAATTCCGACGGCATAGTCTCCCTTTCTCTCTACAAAATAAATGCGTTATAAAAACATTTAAGTTTTCACAAACATGTCAGAATACAAAATTATGTCAGGATTACATTTTTTAATTGTATTTTAAAGTTATTAATTTTCGTTTAAAACAATAAATATAATAGTAACTTTTAAAATATGTTTATATTATATTTATCTTTCTTACTTTTGTGTGTATCTTTTCCAAATGCTGTTGCAAATTGAATTTTACAACATATTCGACACCACATAAATGGCAATAGTATACATTCATTGCATCATTCATAGAGTTGAATTTGATTTTGTTACTAGGCGGAGGAGTGGCTATCGGTTGAAATAAGTGTACCATACTGAAAAATAATCATAAAAATACCATAAATATACATTCTTGAAAGTGGATCGACTGATAAAATGCTACCTTTTATGAATGGATTTACAATGATATTCCAATGCCTTCTCATTGTAAAATAATAAGTCACACTCTTCACATTTTCTGTGTTGATCTTTGTTCTCACTTTCAGTTGCATCATGTAAAGTTTGATGAGTATCTCTGTGATTCTGAACAAATGTGTTTTCGTAAAATTATTATAAAAACAGGAGAGAGAAAAAGTATCATAAAGCACTTACCTTTAAAGGAAATTGCTGTCCACAATAGGAACAATGGAATTTGGTTGGTGAATTGGGATGCATTTTAAACCTGTGCCTTATCGTTGCCCGTATTGAATCAAACGACTGATTGCATATATCACACAGAGTATTTTCATCACTTTTCCTTTCTATTGGTCGTCCTCGGCCATCTATCTCCTTATTTGCATGTCGCCTGTGCCAAACATGACAAAAAACAAAACACTTATGATAAATATGGATAAATATGGATAATGAATAATAAATTTTATAATTATTTCATACATAAATATATATATTTTCATATAGAAAATAATTCAAAATAATGAGGGATTAATAAAATAAAAAACTAAAAAGGATAGAGCTGAAAATTCTAAATTTGATCCTGCAATACATTGATTCTGGGTCAGATTTATTTAAATCATATTTTCTCTTTTTCTTTCTTTCTCTTTTTTTCATATATTTTAATCTTCATTTATCATTAATTTCCATCTCCAAAGGTAACATTTACTATTTTTTAAGACAATTTTTATCAAACTCCGATTAACTTAATAATCAACAATATTTTATTATCGAAGTAATACAATTTATTTTATCTAATATATCTAACTAAAACTATTAAATTCATTAAGAATTAATTGAGAAATATTTAACGTATCGAAAAAGATTGATAATGAACGATTCTATCAGCCAATCAAGTTAATCAGAGTTTAGTTGAAATTGTTCTCATTTTTTAAATAGAACATTTCCAACTTGTTTCGTACATAAATATAAATTGATACATCATAACAACATGGGACATATTCAGATTCAAGTCATGTCATGCTCAATGCTTTAGTTTGAATCGTTTGAATTATTTCCTTGGATTTCTCCCTACATTGCATGTATTTATATTGCACACATTTTAGAAAATATCATCGATTTCATCAATAACATCGTGGAATCACGATTAATTGACTTGAACCGACTGTGAATCTTAACTTGATTATGACGGCGATGATTTGTATACCTAAAGTGATGCTGCAGCGCTTCCTTGGTGTCCAGCTTCGAGTTGCACAGAACGCAGTTGTATTTGCTCCCGGTATTCATTTAGGCGCTCGGAATCTGCGTAAACGGAGCGAGTAAGATCCGCACCGAGATCGCTCTGAATGTCGTAAATAAAAATGACGCGTTCAGCACAAGCGAACACTTGCCGACGTTCGCTGCATCCTCGTTCATTGACGGCCACCTAATCTCCTAACCTCGCGAGCGAGAGAAAGGAAGAATTGCGACTGGAAGGCACGGGATCTGTTTTTTATTCCTACGCTAGACAGAACTTTTTTTTTTATTTTGGCTGAATATCAAGCCTGCTTAATTCACTAGTAGAAAAACAAACCGACGAAAAAATCAATTTTCAGCCATTTTAATTGCATTGAAAAGATGCGCCATCTCTAACCAGAACGTGACCCACAAATAAACATATATCCAGAAAAATTGACACTGTTGACAGTAATTTAAATGACGCGTATTTTTATGTGAGGGAAAAAAGGGATTTTGCGAGATTTTAGGGAATAAAAAGTATTGTCAAAAATTTTATAATATAATTCGAATTTTAACTATTATAACTTAATATTAATTTTTTGAAAATAGAATTTAGAATCATAACAATCGCTCTTAGTTAAAGATCAAGTTACGCTTCCAATTTACATAATTTTGGTAAATAAAAAAATATACAAAAAGATATTGTTTGCTATTATATAATTGCATTTTTCTGGTTATTATATCAAAGACAAGCTGAAAGTTTTTCATGGAAGACATGTATATATTTTTTTTCTATAAAGTGATATATATATAAAATTAAGATCTATAAATTAAATTTAATACTGTCATTCGACAAGTTCTTCCATTTTTATTAGTCGTAATAAAATACTTATTCTTCGGTACAGAGTGTGTATATATATATATGTATATATATATATATATATATATATATATAAATCTAAAATTCTAGAATATATCTATCAGTTCCTTGCTTAGCACGGAATAAAGATCAAATAAACGTTTTAAAATATACATCTCTAATTTTTTCGTGCTTTTTTGAACCAATATATTCATAAATTTTTGAGCAAAGTGTTAATAAGGACCTTAAATTTGCCGCGAATGTTCATACATTATGCAAAAATAAGTCAGCCTTCTTCAATTGTGTTCGATAGTAAGAAAGATTTTAAAGCTTTATAAATAATTGCGTTAATTCAGTAGAAAAGACAGATTTGCAACTGTCGTAAAATTTTTTAATACGATTAGTTTTGCCCTTAGTTTCTCATTAGATCTAAATGTATTAATAAACCATATTAAAAAATGTTACAACAATTGCAGTTGTTTTTTCTTAAATACAGCTAATATTTCAAGCAGCCAAATCTCGATTCCTTTTCTCAGAATTATATGGATTAACTTATTTTTTGTATAAACTTCATTTATATGTTAATAATTTCAATAAATGCAATTGTTGATGTATCGGCAATCATAGCCCATCAGTCACACCTTGCGCTGCCAGTTCTGCGAGCGTTCTTTCGAGGTAACTATGGTCGGGATAGCCGTGACCGGATGTGGACGGTCCGAGTTCGGTCTTGTGATGGATCTCGTTCCATGTGACGACATCCTCGCGACCGGTAGTGACCGATCGGCCGATTGTAAAGATCAATCTACGTTCAAACGCGACTTGCAGCAATCTCAATACACGGCGACCAAAATTATTGTCTGGAAGATAACATACACGGGGGAAGCCCACAGCGTAATACGCTTGACCCGGATTCGGATGTTCGTTACTCTGAATTCCGGATGGGATGCTGAAAAAATTAAAATGAAAATTGATATATTTCCCCCTGAATATATTTATATATATTTATTCAGAGAAAGAGATATTAATTCTTTCATTTATTATCCAATATTTATCTCAAATTAGTATCAATCAATTCGTATCAAATTTATTTACTTCAAATAAAATTAATCTAAAATTAGTTCTTTTAAAATTGTTGATAGATAGAAATCTTTGAAGAATATCGTTATGACGCGAGTTATATGAAAAGATTTCCGTTCTTTCTTTTTTTTATCTTACTCACTCGTAAGTAATTTGTATAGTATTGGTGTTCGGGAAACCCGGTAATGCTCGCGGTATCCGCGTCCAGTTCATCATACCCGGCGGCTGATTGCCTCTTTTCTCGCCATAAATCATACGACAAACTGGACATTGTATATACATGGGTGGTTGCTGGGAGCTAAGCATCGCGTTCAAACACGCCAAATGCAGTCTGTGCCTGCAACGTGTCAGTTCGACCGTCAATGGCTCTGGAGCGCCCAGGCATACTGGACACGAATCGGAGCCGTCGCTTTCCACCACTTTCACATACTGGGATATCACGTCCGACGTAGCGTCCATCCCTAGTAATTAATATTATACATATTAGTATCACTTCGAATGTTCGATTCTGTGATGTTCGAAAAAAATCCCGAAAGGTAAAAATATACAAATGCATTCAAATACCTAAATTAAAATTTATATTCTAATTAAGCGAATATATATGAATAAGTTATTTTCTCATATTAAAATTAAATTTAAAGATGTAAACCTATAGATGATTGAATAGCTAAAATAAGTAAATGTATGTTTGTAAGCACACACCAAGAATGGAATCCTTGAATGCGTCATCGCTTCCCATGCTGCTGTCCAGCAAGTCTATTGGATTCTCGTGACTCAAATACGTGGACACGGTGTCCACGCTCGGCCTGCGACCGCTTTTAGTGCTGCTGGAATCGACATCCAGCACTGTGTCCCAGGTCTTCCTCTTCTGACCGGACTCCACATTCGTTGCCGCGGGATTGTTCTCAATGCCATGTTTGCTGCCAAATATGTTGAAATTACTGAGAATAACGCGTGCAATATTCGTCGGTCCGTTCGTCTCTCCGCTTTTACTCTGAAAAAGACAATTTATAAATGAGGTCTCCAATACAGGAACACCGCGTTGAAGAAAAAACTCACTTTCTTGTTGTTTTTCTTTGTACTTCCATTAGACGATTTCTTATGTGTAACTTTGACGGTGGAACTTTTGACCGTAACCGACGCGGATCTCCTCCCGGAAGTGACTTGCAGTTCTTCCAATGCGACTTTGACTAGCGGATAAGGCGCCTGTTGTATTCGTCTTATCGGCCTCACATAGCCCGTACAACATCTCACTTGCGTCAGATTACAGAAATTGATGATGTAAGGGAAACCCAAGTAAGTTTTGGAAATGTCGATGGTTTTGTCACCCTAAAAAAAAATATTTTTTTTTCATTAGAAGACTCGAACACAAAAATTGTTTACCTTGGAAATATTCGTCTGCTTACTCTTGCCCATGCTTCTTCTATAAGACATTGCACCTCCATGTCATAAGTATGCCAATCATCCGAGTCACCTGTCCACTCCCATTTGGCACCTTTGCCGGCTGGTGAAGCTGGCAGATAAAACTTTCTTCTCACATTATGCGTCTCGTCACCGTCGTCGCAGCATTGTGTTTTTGTCTTCAAATTGATGTAATACCTAATTTTTAAATAAATTAATATATATTATTATCTTCAAATTTTTAAATATTGAAGTATAAAA